TCGATCATGGATGATCGACGGCCGGAGGGCCGTCCAAAATTCAAAAAAAAAAAGCAGGCCTCACGGGCCCGACGCGCCGTTTTCTGGGCGTGGTCGGACCCGGTAGGCCCTGGCAACGCACAAACAAGTCCATTCGGGGTCTGAAACCCCCCTACAGGTGAGTGTGCTGGGGGGGCCCGGGCCCCAACCGGGCCGCCCGGGACCTCCCCCGGGCAGGCGCCGGTCGCCCGGGCGGCCCGGATCCGTACTCAGCCAATTAGAGATTTTTTTTTTTTTTTTTTTTTTCCCTACCTTGCCTACCCTGAACTCTACACTCCCTCTGCTCCCCTCTAGCTATGCCACTTTCACCCTAAACCCTTCTTCCAACTCTTAACTCTACCCCGTCCTTTGGCCTTTCTCATTTTCATTCTCTCTTATTTGTCCATCTCCCTTGAACTCTACACTTTCTCTATTCCCCTCTGGCAACTTCCCTTTAAACCCTGAATCCTTTTTTTTTTTTTTTTTTTTGGAACCCTAAACCCTAGTCCTCTCTCTCTCTCTCCGTTTTGACCTTTGTATTTTAATAGCAAACAGATTGCTGAACATTAACTCCTATCTGTTCTAGGTTACCCTTATCTAGGGCTTGTATCTTGTCTTATGATGTGCTTGCAGGTTGGTGTTGCTGCTGCTTCCTTTTGGACTATCCCTTTCTGTTTTTGCCTTGGCTTTCCATTTGTCCCGAACCTCCGTTTTGAAGTGCTGTCCTTGCCATTTTTGTTTCTTCATAGGCACTAATCTTTACTTCCTCTTACCCTCCCCTATTCTATGGTTGTGCTTATTCCTCCCCCGAGATTTCCTTTCTTATCAGTCTAAGTCCATTGCGCTTGTGTTATTCTGACTTGTTCTTGGGCTGTCCGGATCCCACCAGTTCGTGAATTGAAGGGTTTTCCCGTTTATCCTTGCCCTTAGTCCCTCCTTCAGCCACTGTTTTTCAAATTCTTTCTGTATTTTGGTCCTCTTCTGGTCCTCTATTTCCTTGTCCATTTTCCAAAGCACTCGTTTCCATTCCACTCTAACTCCTGTTTCTACGATTTCCTTTGCCTCTTCCCATGATTCAATTGCCGTTATCTTCTTTTTTCCTATTGTGTTTCCACATCTGGCTCTCCATATTACCCACAGGGTTGTTCTTCGCAATAACTCTGTGATCTCCTTATCCTCCTCAGGGATTAAGCCTTCTCTGTCTATTGCTGTTAGTAGGAGGAATTGGTCTGTCGGGAATTCATTATTAGATAGGTTGGACCAAGCCTTTTTGCACTTGATCCAGAGGGCTTTGGCGTGCTGGCATTCCAGTAGGCAGTGAGTTAGTGTTTCTGCTACCTGGAAAAACAAAAACAAAAAAAAAAAAAAAAAGTGTTTCTGCTACCTGTTCCTGGCACATTTGGCAGTGCGCTGAGGATTCTGTTCTATCTTCCTTTCTCCTCTTTGTTTCTAACCACTCATTGGTGGGGACTGCCATATAAATTATCAACCATTGTAAGCTTCTCACTTTCTGAGGCCTGATCGTTGCATAGTAGGACCATGGGATTGTTTGCAAGCAAGCGGGGTCTATTTGGAGGTTTTTTTCCCATCTTGCCGCTATGATCGGTTGTGGATTTTCTAGCTTGCGTCTTATCTTATATCCCCGTTTTACTGTGTATTCATGCAGCGGGATCCACTTTTTGGCTCTTCCCCTCCCTCTATTCTGATACCAGCCCCACTCATTGGGGTCGACTTCTAACTCCGATATGTCTTTATTTGGTCTAAACAGACAGGTGGGGGGTTCTACTTTCTTTCTTTCTTTCCTTAGTCCTTTTTGCTCGTTTTTAAGTTCTCTGACCTTCCTCAAGTCTTGTAGGGCAAAGTCTAGACTGATTAGGGTGTCTTTTCTGACCTCCACTATTGTTTTATCTGCGTCCTCCAACTCATGTACTTCAAATTTGGCTATGCGCCTATCAGTTCCCTCGTATCTTATGAAACGAAGGGCTACTGAGGGTGTTTCTTGTGCCTTCAATGTTGCCCAGTCTCCTTTCTTCCAAACTATAC